TCCCCGGAGACCTCAAAATCGACCTACTATTTAAGCCGAATAGGCCTATGCCTACTATAATCTGGTAGAGATTAGCCTGTTGAGTATCAACAGATGTAATAGGGTGCACTTGATTAAATTTACGGAGAAAATTCTCACCTCTGCGACTGATGATTTGGCGTTGTTGGTTGGGTTTATCAAAAAGGCAGAATGGTATGCGTGCACGGTTTGTGTGCTGGGCCCTAGCTATAGCTAGTAAGGTAATAGGACAATAAAGGCTAGAATTTTACAAAGCGCAATTCAGAATTACAATCAGACAGCTACTGTCATAGGGAATGAAGAATCTGTACTTACGGGCTGCTGCCGGCAAAGGAGGGGGTAGGAAACAAAGTTTGGCCACCGGCTGGCGCAGAGTTCAAGCCATGCCCACTGGTTCGGGTCGCCTGAGCTCGTCCCCCTCCCCCTCCTCATCCACGGAGCCTAATTCTAGGTATCGGGCCACCAGCTAGGTCCTACATAAGGCCCCACTCCTGCCCTTTCTCCTCCACGGTATCCACAGCTGTTTACAGTCCTACATAATGAGCTCTTGTCCAACATTCTCCTTCTCTCACCTGTCCCCTACGGCTCAGCTCGGGATGGCTTCTCACATGTCTTCCCAGGCATTACACGAATTTGCATCGTGTTCCCCACCCTTTTCCGCCTTTCTAGCACTCAACGAGTCGGCCATAACTTTGGCCTGTCTCCGCACACAATACGGATATATTCCACCGCACCGCCGCCGGGCCTCTCTAACTATGCTTGCTGCTCACGAGCCCCTCCCCCCCAATGCAGCTCGCTTTCTTGCCCTCCTATCATCTCGAAATACCCCCAACACTCTCTTCACACCGGCTGAACATGAGGCACTCTACGGCCCGGGTGTGCGCGGTCTCCTCCGATATCTCGACTACCGTCGCCGCCGTGCCAGCCCCTCTGCATTCTTAGCGCGCTCTTATACAACTTCAGGGCTTGCAGAAACAATCGCAGTCTATGAAATCCTTTGCGATATCATTGCCGCACGCCTTGGCGGCATTGTCCCCTTCGATGAGCTGCCAGCACTGCAGGCTAGTCTCATCGCCAGCCTAGACATTCTAGAGATGCCCGCACAAGGCGAAGGCGACATTAACCAGTGGCTTGCATCTCGTCGTCCTACTGAGAAGTTTGAAGACGGCGACTCATTCTTTATAACTCCTTCGAAAGAAGCATCTGAACTACAGAATGATGGGTGCGCGATTGTGCCGTCAGATTCCGAAAGTTCAAATAGCGATAGCGCAGTGGACATGGACAGCTCTGCCGACGAAGAAGAGAATCGAGAGAAATATGTGTGTGAGCCCTACACCCTGGAGATGCGCACCGGCGGCGGCAGCGGCACTAGTAGTGAAATGGGCGCGTATGTACCGCGCTTCATGGAGAGAGTAGTGATTGGAGAACCTGAACGAGAGGGCGTGTTGAGGCGGTGGGGGACGCGCTTGACGAGGGGCCGTGGGCGCAGTACGTGTGTTTGATACTGAAGTATCTTTTTTGAGCAGGGTGGGTGGTTTGCATTTAGGGCGTATATCTCTTGTGAATTTTTGGTCTGCGGGTCTAGTCGGTTGTATTATTATGGTATCTGGGCCTGTTGCTTTGATGACCTATAACATGTATTTAGTGGATCATTAAAATATTCTTCTGAGGTTCATGGTGCAGATTGATCTTGCTGCAACGTGGTATATTCAGACACATTGAAAAATCACAGAGCAGGAGCAGTCGGCCGGAGATCACATCCGCACATTCGACTTCCATGATTTTGCTCGACACCCCCAAGACCTTTCAATCCAACCTCCCGGAACCTCTCCGGTACTATCTCGCGTGTCTGCGCAACCCCCTCTATCCCTGGGACAGCCACACCACACCCTCCCACAACCCCTCTACCATCTCCTCCATCTCCGGCGAAAGACCCACACGCCCCTTTTGCGCGAAGCACATGCTATATAAGGTTTGCTTTGTCGCGCGTAGGGTGGGCCCTACCGCCCCGCTCAATGTAGGGCTTTGTTGCAATGTGCCGTAGACGGCGGCCGATGACGACGGAAGGCTTGGTGGCTTTTGCCTAGCGTTTGTCTGAGTGAGAAGCCATGTATCAGCTTTACTGCGCGTGTCACGTGCACAATTATGTGCTGTAAAATTGTGAACACGTCTGCTCGAGTGCGTATTGAAATCCGCGCGAGATCCTGGGGAAATGCTGGTTGTGGGCCAAGGGCATAGATGGCAGTCTGTGTGTTGCAGATTGTGCAGCAGGATACAGATACTATACTATTTAAGTAGGCTTCAGGTTAGGACACGAAAGGCATGTCCATGAATGTATTTGTGTGAGTACATTGTGGGGGTTTTTTTAGAACTTGCAAATACGTTACATGAAGATTGCCAGCACTTTCGGCATCTTCGCGGTGCACTGTACTCCGGTCCGGTGTTCAAGGCCACACTGCCACACTGCCACCGCTAGTGCACGAATATGAATTATTAGGGGGATTTCGCAACTGGTCTTCGATAGAGCTGACTAGCGCCTAGACTTGGGACTTGTCGAAGACTGGGAAAAGGGATTTCGCATTTTGGTACAAGATAGAGGCTGAAATACTGGAAGTTACATAAGCGCTGTTGGATCTTTCTTTGAGCTGAAAGCTAATTGGGCTAGTGCGCCGAGAAATGTGGAGTTGTCCTTGGATAAAGTGGCCTTCTATCGGCGATATCTTTATCCAAGGACTGGTCACAGATATCTTGTTGTTGTGTAAATATGTGACCTGTTTCTACAGTAACAGTAGAAAATACCCCTGTCAACCCGTCTAAGATCCGTTGCGAAATCCCTCTATTTTGAGCCACTCTCTTTCAGTGTTTCCCACAATTACATACACAACCATCGAGCAAATAGTTTCAATATATACTGAGAAACCTCGTTTGTGGGCAGATATCCACGCACCAACGTCCCTGCATGGAGAATATTGCACTGCGCATTCATTTGTCTATTCTAAAGGTTTATGGGCCCATCAACATAATTTATCATACGCGAGCCCTGAAGAGGAGTAAGATCAATGCATCCTAGGTTTACTACCGCATTTAATTCTTATAATTGTGGATTTCTTGTAGAGGCTTTGCATATTGAACGTAGCCTAGCCAGGAATCAGACCCAAAGAGTACGAATTCCTAAAAGACGTAGGTCTGTAGGCACGATGGGTAGTATGGTAGGTAGAAACATTGACCGATCGCTGTATAAAAGGTAGAGGTCTGCTATATAATCGTTGATGTAGATGTTCATCTCTATGGAGGATAAATTTAGACGTTAACTTTCGAAGTCCTGGACTCTCGATCGAAGAATCGCTCATGGAACTCCGACGACTGGTCCTTGCGGTATTGTCTGTAGGGCGATTGAGGGCGACTGTAGTAATTTCAAGCGTTATATATATATTATATACGAATATGAGGAATGGCTGTTGAATTAGTTTAGTTTTGGGGAGAATGTTTGATTTCGGGTGTTCAAGATCACGCCGTTCAAGCACGGAACACATGTTCAGCCAAAAAAAAAAGATGGCCAAACATTAGACCCACACCTGTGATCAGTTAGCTGGAGGAAAGGTCCTGACCGTAGCTCGAGAGGATGATAAGCTATGAATCTTCTTTATCCGAAAAAACGTATATCTACATGATGACTTTAGGAAACCCGGAAGCGCCACGTAGTTATCCAAGTGGGCTGATTGGCCTTGTTCTAAAAGTGGGGTAGCACCGGGGTGTGGCCCTAAACCCTGTGACCCCTATGAGATCTGTGTCTCAACTCGGTGCTGAGTAATTAGTCTTAATAGTATGTAGAGTACATACCAAACGAGACCCCTAAACCATCACAAGAGGACCAACTGTGGGAGTACTTGTACGAAGTACATACTTCGCTTGGAGGTAAAATTAAAGTTCCGTACAATGTTTTATTAGAGAGGCCCAATCAAAGATAATGCAACAGGGGTATTGAGGATCCGAGGAGAAGCAGCTGAGGTCTGAATTTATGCGAGCAGGGAAAGGAGAATCACAGCCTTGTGCACTGTACTTGACGGCATAGGTCCGCTCTGCGGCCCGCCATTCAATCATGCATTTTCAGCCTTCATTTTACGCAGGGCCCCAGCTCACCTTCTACTTAATACCATTACGCGGCAGATTCTTCGGCAATGATACGGAGCGGAGCTGCGGAGGGGACGAGGTTATCCAAAGATGTACACAATAGACGATGTACAACATTTTCTACCCAAAGAGTGATCCGCTGGTTCGTTTGCACAATTGTTTCAGGCAAGCCTTGTTTGTTTGCCGAAAAGCACTACGTCTCAAAAAATACCCACCGTAAACAGAAGGATGTCAAAGCGCTAATTAGTTTTGGGAACTCGTTTGAGTGATGGAGTTTTAAAGAAAGCATATGTATGTAGAATTTAAACATCTATTACAGGTGTCGTTTCTCGCACTACATGCATTTAACTGCATGCAGATTGATTTAAAATACGTACTCCAGCTGTGTGTGTATCTTACCGCTTTTAGGGACAATACACATGGACATGCTTAATGTGCTTCTACATATACCCGGGGAACCGGACTACATTAGTTTACACCTGCTTGCCGATGCCGGCAATCTAGAACAGAAAAAATGATATGATAAGCGCTCGTAAAGTCTTCCGTTGATTGGTCTGAAATAGCTGCATCCAGACGGCATATTCATTCCATATCGCACAGCACCCGGATCCGGGTCTTTCTCAAAATTATCTAGGCAATCTAAAGCTTCTGTGACCTACATCTGTCCCAAAACCAGAGTGAACGTTCCAATAAACTTTATTCTGTTGAAAAGCATAAACGAGTACTTCCTTGTGACCTGTGCACGGACGCACAGTCCTCAAGTATCACTCGGCCTTGTATCACCACTTGCAAAAACATGAGCAAAAAGCAATACCATTCCGTGCCAGACAAGAGTAGAATGGTAACGGCGATGCGACAAACCCGGATTGAACGGGTGACCTTCAGATTTCGAGAAGTGGACTTCAGTCTGACGCTCTCCCAACTGAGCTATTATCGCCTTTTTCATGAAGTTTCTCGAGGGGGTCGACTTCTAATAGGAAAAGAAGAAAATGAATGGCCGTAGTAAGAGGGATTTGTGGAGATGGGGTAGAGGCGAAGGCACTGTAGAAGTACATGTAAACTGGCTGACGTGGGAAGACCCGACAGCAGTGAAGTCCTATAGAAATGGTCGCAAAGCGCATCATTTTATGTTTCAATCTCGCCGGATTCATGAAATTATCTCACATACAGCCACAACAAGTCTAAATTGTCAGCTCTCCATTTATCCCAGAAATATTCCGCATCCAGGCTTACTGGAGAAAAAAACGCCGTAGTATGCCATGATCTAGATGATTTTTAGCTGCATATATATCCAGTGGCTTGTTTCTGGACGTCTCTGTGAAGGTTGCAGGCGGGATTGTATTAGGTTGATTATGAGGGCGCTCGAGTGAGGGAACGTGTTGCGGAACAGAAATAGTAGTGGTTCCTGTAGCCTATTCCATGACGCCCTGTCTCTCTCAGAAGGTGAGACTAGCAATTCTCTCATCCTAGACTGGCTCCTTGTCACATTCTCGCACTGCTTCTACCAAAGCATTATGGGGGGTTGGCATAGTGAGGGGGGAGGAGACCGTGCGGAGCTTGTGGACGAGGGTATTGTGAGGGTGTGGCAGTATCAGATTCATCGTACAGCGTCATAAATAGTGGTTCCATGGTGCCAAGCCGTAACACATGCTCGGATTCCTTCTTTGTATCGGATGATATGTGCTGGCACTTCTGCACCAGTGGTCATTCGGTTTTGTGACCCATACACTAGTTCCCCACCCGCCACCTATTTTCCCAGGGCCAAAATAAAAAAAAAAACAACCACCTTCTCTCTAGAGAGAGAGGAATGGAAGCAAAGGCAATGCGACAAACCCGGATTGAACGGGTGACCTTCAGATTCCAGAGAAGTGGAGACTCACTTCAGTCTGACGCTCTCCCAACTGAGCTATTATCGCTGGTTCCTTGGAGTCGTCGACCGGGTTTACCATTCTAGCCGGAGAGCGGAAGGAATGAGAGGGTGAACATGGGGAAAAGGGGAAAAGGGTGAAAAGGGATTGTGGGGATTTAGGGTAGGTTGGGGAGTGTAATTACGGTGGGATCGTAGACAGCCGTCGGAAGACACAAGTACCGATGTGGAAGCTTAACATGGTTCTAGAAAGAAGCCTCACACGGTAGTATGTGCAATACATTTTTGTTCGGATTTCTGAGATTATGATACACTAATTACACAGGTGCGAGTGAGGATGCGTGTTTGCCGTCTGCGCTGCTTGATGTTATGCTTGATATCCCCTATTGGCCGCTAGATGAAGCTGACAAGCCTGTCACAAACAGCAAATGGTGTCAAAAGGACTGCTACATGAATTAGATGACGTATCTCGGTCAACCGCCTTGAGGAATCAATCACGTCATCCCACACGGTTGGACTGCGTTCAAATCTCCCACTTAGATATTCCGTATCTGGTCATCGGCCATTGTTATCTAATCCCCCATCAAGCATGGAGATGAAACGGTTGGTAGACTGATTGGAAAGTACGTATTCTGTAGCATGAGTAGATCGAGGAAAAAGAGTATTGTTGTAGATTCTATACAGATTTCGAAATATTGGTTTCACGGTCCAGCGTATGACTTACCTTTCGTTCCTCTGTCTCCTAGAGTTCGTGTCTTTATTTTTTATCCTTGCAGTCACTCCCCACTGAAAGAGAAGCAGCAGGAGGGGTCAATCGGGAGTGAACAGGAAAATCTCAAAAATTTGAGTGCTCATAGATGACCCATGCAGAGAAATGTGCGGTATGTATTCGTAACTTCATCGCTATGGTATAAAAACTCCGTCTCCAAAATGCTTCCCGACCCGGGCAATCCAGCGCAGAAAAATAGCTCAACAATAAGTGTACTAACCCAAGCTCAATATCCAACCCAAGAAAACTCCGATAACGCCTCCTCCGCCCCGCCGCTCCTCTCTCGCATTACTGGTCTTAGCCGCCCACTAGCTAGCATGATATACAGCGCTACATTAAGTCCAATCCACAAACCTCAGCTCTCGTCTTCTCCCAGCGTCGATACATCTCTGCGACCACCCCCGTCGAGCCCCTGCCACTCCCAATCCTCCACGGCTCCCGCTCCCCGGCAAAACTAACATACCTGCTCTCGTTTCGCACCTTTCCCGCGTCCCACGCGCCCATGCGATACGCTGCTCGTCTACCTGCCGTCTTAAACACCCCCAGCGGCGTAACCCACGGGTGGCTCGGCAGCAGCGCCGCATAGTTTCCAAAAAGCTCATTTACGACCCCGCCCACCGTGGCCCCATCGCGCTCTGCAATCTCCGCCACCCGCGCGGCCTGCACTTCGTCTGGTGTGACGACGAGTAGCGCCTCCCCGACCCGTGTTGGCGCAGCCGGGTCGCGGATGCCCGTCACCACTACTCCCTCGGCGGGCGCGAGAAGCAACGAGTCTAGGCTCTGCAACAGTATGCCGCGGACATCAAGTAGCGCGATGCGCCGCATGTCCGCCTCCCTGAAAGCGGCGGCGAGGGCGAGGGCTGGCGCTGCTTCGAGGCCGGGGACGGGGACGAGGCGCACGCCGTAGCGCACCGTCGCTGAACGCAGTAGACGCGCAGCGGTAGGATGGGCGCCGGTTGCGGCCCACGATGCAGGGTGGTAGAGGATCCGCGTCGTTGGAGCCGTGTCGCGGAGGGCTGCGAGGCCGGCGAAGAGCTGCAGGGCATGGCAGGCTTCGCTGGGGGTTGTGATAGCGGTGGCGTAGGCGTGGGTTTTGTGGTGGGCTGCGAGGAGGAATTGAGCTTGCAGGTCATTGGAGGCCGCGATCGGGGGTTGTGAGGTTAGGCCGGCGGCGAGGTGTTGCCGTGAGATTTGCGCGGAGTGTTTTTGTGCCCGGGTGTGGGTGGGGGTAGGGAGCGCGGCGGAGAGGGCGGCGATGGATTGCTGTTGCAGGATGTAGCCTGAGAGGAAGAGCAGGAAGGAGAAGATGAAGACTAGTGGGATCAATGGCCGTTAGCGGTGGTGCTCAACTCGTCTCGATCTCTAGGAAGGTTCAATTGTGTGAGGGGGCATACTGATTGCAGCTGCAGCTCGGATGGGAAGTCGATTGAGCGACATGTTAGAAATTATGGTGGGAGGAGGAGGGGAGAATAAGGTTTCACAGTGCCTAACGCTCCGGTGAAACGTTCACGGAGGTAGGGGAGCTGGCGGGTGGTGGAGAACAGTTGTGGTGGTTATGTCGAGTGTTTGGGGCTCTGCGGGAGGGTGTTGCTGGGGTGATGCCACAGGACACAACACGGGAATGTCATAACTGACATATTTTCAAATTGAAAGCAGAGATTTTGCTGTGATATTGTATCGCATGGCAAATGAGAAAACCATATCCTATATAGTTTAGGTAAAGAGAAGAACGACCGTGTATCTATATTTCTAGTTGCTGTATCGGCTTGAGCAGTCCAGATTTCCACGCAGGTGAATCATCACCAAGTACTTCATAAAGCAATATACCATAGTTAACCCATCGCCGGTAGGCCCGCGGCTGTTACCGATCTCGAGTTGGAAATATGTCATGTATTATTGCAGATTCTGTCGACAAATACTCATGACGAATACAGAGACAAAAACAGATGACTTAGCTGCAATATATAGAAAACAGCTGTTTGACAAGAATAACCGGGTGTGTGGACGAACGCGCAATTAGCGAGAAGGTGGAGGATAATCCAGCCGTCAATCGGTACCGTAAACCACTGTAATCGTCGCCGCTTACACTCACCATACTCGGAGAAAGCCGGTGATGTTTTGTTTTCATTTCGCTTGAATCAATGAAATAATATAAAGCCAGCTAGCCGTACACGTTTTGCATGCCGGACATGTGCACTCTGCTACCGCTGTTTGTGTACTGCGAACAGGACTGGTCACTTCCACTTCACGCTTGACTTAGCTGTCGTCAGTTCTACCCATTGAAACCAATTCGCTAAACCTGTCACCAGTCAGTTACCAGTGTTATTGCTTTCCCCACGCCCTGCATGCAGGAGCTCCTCGTGTCGGTCTCACTCTCCTTAGTCTCGGGTAAAAAAAAAGCTTAGCTCACTAGCCTAACGCTGGTCCCAGCCGCAACCCCTATATTTTCTGACTAAGACCCACGCCGACTCCAAAAAGAAACGTTGCACAAACTACACACGAACCGATTCAGCCGAAGAACAAATTTCTTTTACAGCTGGGCATGGCCACCACGTCCATCGATAATGCGATGCGCAGCATCAGCAACGTTCTCTCTTTTCGAACCGACGCCACGGCCTCTGCTGCAATTGTCGCGCTCCTCCTCGTTATTGTTGTTACGATGCCGTTCTTCAGTCGGAGAAATCGCATGCCCGTTGCTGGCCGTGTATGTTACCCCCTCTCCACACTTCAGCTTTTGAATGGCGCTCGCTGACAGGTGGATTGGATTGGATAGCTCGTGGTGATTACTGGCGGCTCACAGGGCATGGGCAAAGCTGTTGCGCTGCTGCTGACGCGCAAAGGCGCCAGCATCGTAATTGTTGCGCGAGACCGCACTAAGCTCGACGCCGCGATTCAGGAGATACAGGTACATCCCCATCCCTCTCCATACACAACCATTGGGCTACCCGCTGACCGAGACAGGCCGCGGCTCCGAACTCCACGCAACGATTCCTAGCCGTGTCGGCAGACATGAGCATTGCCGCCGAGGCACGCCGCGCGTTCGACGAGATTACGGAGTGGTATGGTGGTGTACCGGATTTGGTGTGGCAGTGTGCCGGAGGGACGCAGCCGGGGTACTTTAGGGATGCGAGTCCGGAGCTGTTGGAAAAGGAGATCCAGACGAATTACATCCAGGTGATGCACACGGCACATGTTGGGTTTCCTGCTTCAATTATGTCAAATGTTTGCTGATGTGTGGTAGAATGCCCTCCGCGTAATGTCCTACAACCCACTGCCCGCCGGCGCGCCGCAGCGTCACATCATCTTTACTTCTTCGGTCCTAGCCCTATACCCCATTGCGGGGTACAACACCTACTCGCCGGGCAAGGCTGCCATTCGCTCACTCGCCGATGGACTGCGGCAAGAGTGTCTACTGTACGACATTGCCGTGCACTGCTGCTTCCCCGCTACCATCTACTCCCCTGGATTTGAAAATGAGCAGAAAACCAAACCGGAGCTCACAAAGATCCTAGAAGGCAGCGATGACGGACAGACACCCGAAAAGGTTGCAGAGGTCTGCGTCAAGAAACTGGAGAGGGGTCAATTTTTGGTGGTCACGACGTTCTTGGGCGAGGCGATGCGGGGCGCAACGTGGGGGGGCAGTCCGAGGGGTAATTTCGTGTGGGATACCATCTTTGGATGGATCATTGCCGTCGTGTGGGGCGTGGTCGGGAAGGTGTTGGATTGGGAGGTGATCAAGTTTAAGAGAAAGCTGGAGAAGGAAGGAAGGGCAGCATAGACAGATACTAGGCAAGGAGGGGAGCGATACTTATGCTTCATGTTAGAAGGGATACCTTTGGGATAGCGATTTTATTAATGACTCACTCAATGCACGGCCTATGCGCCTAATACCGACAATCAAAATGTCTGTCGTTGCATATTTGACCGGTGTCTGACGCAGGTGCATCCCGAAACCCTAACCCCCTGCGCCCTTGACCCACTTACACCTCCACCTCAGCCTCAACCTCACCTCTACAGCTCCACCTCCCCACCACAACCACAGCTCCATCCCCCCTCCATCCAAACCATGACCGACTCAGCACCCACTCCAGCCGCCGTCGCATCCGGAACCACGGCTCCCACATGTCCATTCATCTCCACGAACGCCTCATCGTCCGGTCTACAGCTCGCCCTGCATCCGCTGGCTCTGCTGACAATCAGCGACTACATCACGCGCCATGCCCTCCGCAACATCCAGGGCCCGATAGTGGGCGCCTTGCTCGGTACACAGTCCGGCCGCGAGGTCTCAATTGAACACGCCTACGAGGTTATGGTCTCTCCGCCCGACGCGCCCGCCGCCGACAGCGCTGCGGACACACCCGCCCCCATCCTCGACCACAGCTTCTTCACGAACAAACTCAGCCTGTTCAAGGAGACTCATCCGACTCTCGACCTGCTCGGCTGGTTTGCCACCACCTCCAGCCCTCACTTCCACCCCCATGCCTGGCACCTCGCCCTCCACCAGCAGCTCCTCACGCACAACGAGTCCCCTGTGCTGCTGCTGCTCAACCCAGCTCCCGCCGCCAGCATCGGCGGCAAGCTCCCGCTCGCGCTCTACGAAAGTATCTATGAGGCCGATGGCGCGCTGCGCTTCGCCCCGCTCAAGTACACGATCGAGACAGGCGAGGCGGAGATGATCGGCGTCGACGTGGTGGCGCGCGGCGGCGGAAACGCTACCGAAGAGACGGCCGCACCGCCACCACAGAAGGACTCCGGCAAAGGCAAAGGCAAAGCTAAGGACACCCTCGCGGATATCGACGCACTAGCCACGCCACTGGGTCCCCACAACGAAGAGCTCCTGAGCCAGCTGACTAGCAAGCGCAACGCAATCACCATGCTACACTCACGCATCCGACTACTACTCAAATACCTCACCGACCCTCCAGAGGGCGGGCACACGCCCCAGCTTCTACGCGAGCTCAAAAGCTTAACACACTCCCGCCTGCCGCTGCTGACGCCCAGCAACGCCGCCGAATTCGAGGCCGAAAAGAATGCCGAAGAGGCGGACGTGAACCTCGTCGTGCTCCTGGGGACGCTGACAAAGAATTTGGAGCAGCTGCGGAGCATGGGACGCAAGTTTGCGGCTGCGGACACGGTGATGAGCCGGCGCGGGGATAAGGGCTCGGGCGAGGAGCTCTATTCAAGAGTTGGAATGATGGGGATGAGTGGCGGCGGCGGTGCGGGGGGTGGGCGGCGCCAATTCGGATAGTTATTTATGCTGGAGAGACGAGGAAGGAGGAGGGTGATGGTGATAGTGGTGCATGGCGTTTGATTGGTACTTCTTATTGGGATGTTCAATACATGTTCTTTGGGGGTTTGCAGCTCTGATAGAAAAAATTGAAATGGATGGACTAGCTTGCTAAGTAGGTGCTTGAGCATCGAACCTGAAGATCGTTCTTGCTGCATGCAGACTAGATACAGCGGAGATGTGAGCAGTGTGTACCGCCTTCGTGCAAATTGGAAGGTTTGGGCAAAAAGACAGTATTTAGCCCGGCAGATGCGCGTCTAACGGGTGATATTTTTCGTAAAGTGGTGTGCTTATGACGGCGTGTCTCCAAGGAGTGGTGATATTCGATATCCTTTCAACGCACGCCCATTTCCATTCCTCCCATAATCGATAGTATATTTCTACCCCGCACCTCCGTCCCTTCATCCATCCCATCCACTAAATGCAACATGCTACCTAGCATCTAAGCTCAGCAATCGGACCCAAAGCGACGAACTCCGTTCAGTTGTGGGCTGCCCATATGCTTTCCTTTCTAGAGTATATGGAGCATGTAGGTACAGCGTTGTGCATACCAGGCAGTGCCTTTGGAACTTGGGGAGGTATTTGAACCTCACCTTGGCTTGGTTGTAATACAACCTATATAAATTTCTTGATGATCTAGAGACTAGTGGGAATATAAGGCTTTTAGTTGTGGCAAGATGGTACTGTTGAATATTGAAGGCCTGGCCTTAGCTAGACAACAGGCATGTGCAAAATAGAGTTTGTGAATCTAGGAGTTGTAGTGACATGATTATCATAATCCACGCCATTCTGGATAGTAGAGCGCGAGCTTATCGATCGGACTTCGAAGACCCTGTACTGAGATGTCTGAAATACTTCTGTGAGTCAGTACACGTCGTCGCGTTCAACGTACGTTTATTTCCATTTAAACTCCCACTTTCTCCCCGGCCACAATCCATGAAATATCCCACCCTCATTTAGCAATTAGTCACACGCAATACGCAAGCAACATCCGGCATCCCAAATTCCCCCACATTGCTCCAGCACTCATTCCTAGATCTGTCACAGCCAGAGAACTATCCTTGGGAAGTACTATATACCAGCAAGTGCGTGTGTGGTGCTCCGGAGTCCGGCTCTAACCTAGCAATGAACACAGCATTTCCAAACGGAGTCAGCAAGTTTTGGGGCTGTGTGCATGGAGAGTGAAGAGAGATCATTGGGGGCGGACTTGCAGTATTCTATACGAATGGCGGAAAATCTTTGAGTTGGGTTGGTTCCGTTTGGGTTTGTGTTTATGTTTATGACAACTTTTGAGCCCGTCTCACACGACAAACCCATTTTTGGGTTGTGGAATTAGTGGATTGTGTAGAGTAGATGCCTCAACCCGATGATTCAACTCGAAATCTGCTTGACCGAGGCGTGATCATCAGCGAAGCGGTGTGTGCATAATACGAAACGGCCTGCTTCAAAGAAAGTAATTATGCGGAATGAGCTATCGAGCGGTTAAAATTCAGTTTCCAAGAGAGATCAATTTGGGGTGTTTAGACGAATCATCGTTCCTCGTCGAGTGCTAGGTGGATACGGGAGGCTGGGGCTGAGTCTCGACACAGTGAGATATCCCGAGGTAAATCAGAACTCCCGAAACACCAACTCGACAACCACGCCGATGACATGAGTTCTACACCTTACAAATTATTACAAAATCCCAACCCCTGCCCATTTCTCTATTCAAATCCACCGGACTTCCCATATCTACACAGAACCCCCTACGACATGACCGACCCATGAAATCAGCGATAATAGCTCAGTTGGGAGAGCGTCAGACTGAAGTCTTCAACGTCAGTCACTGCAATCTGAAGGTCACCCGTTCGATCCGGGTTTGTCGCATAGGTCAAACATCCTCTCCTCTTGGGAAGATGTTCTTTTTGCGGGAGGGAATAACACAGATGGGATTGGGGTAGTGCATAGGGTCTCACTCGAACTCGTTGGAAATGGCCACTTACTTTTGTGGATGCATGTAATTACACAAGTAACGAGCCCATTCTCATTAAACAGATTAGTGAGAATCATATATCATCCAAGAAATGCAGAATTTATACAAATAAGCACCTATGTTTACGAAGTGTGTACTTTTGGCATGAAAAGCGACCTTTGATATTGAAACATGAGCTTTTCACAACTTAGTCGACATCTCAAATATCTATCAAGGGTCCGGCTGATACCAAGTGTGGAAGTTTGCAAGGCTGTGAGTGGAAAAAGAAATGCTGTGATCGTTGGACCTGAGACACACTAGATGTGATTGGCTGTGACTTTTAAATTTTTGGTTGAGGATGGAGCAGAACATGACCTGGAAAATGCCATGATTCGTTCTCTGTTAGTATAGAACAATGATAATCTTGGAACTTTGTGCCACAGCTTTTAGGCGGCAAGGCAGAGGAGGCTCTGCCGGAGAGTGTGTTCTCTGTTCATAGGTGAACAAACTTTAGTAACTGACATGTAGCCGCGAGTTACGTATGCCTACTGTGCCTTGAAGCACAGTTGCGGGAAAATCACCCACATCGACTACTGTACTCGTTGTCGGACCTAGGCCACCCTGTTGTGTATTATGATCCATTCGTTCGGCTACACGGCTAGAACTGCTCCGTATGCATCAAGCTCTTTTAATTCGTGGTTGTAGATGTCCGCGAGCCGCAAATGATCACAAAATTTTATTGTAGATCGATCATGCACAATCTGTTAATGAGTTTTCAATACAATGGCGAGCCTTGGCTTCTGTTGTGGTTGACTTACATTTAGTGTGCATGATGGGTCCTGCAATGGTTCCCACAAGTAGTACTAGTATGTGGATGCATTTGAGATTTCCTAGGCCTGCTGCATGCACTGCTACTGTGACTACCGGGAGGGTAGCACTTTCTAGGTTTGTCACAGGGAACGTAAGGTGGCCCGTGTACAAAGTTTCAAACTCAAGTGTGTATATTATTAGGACTAAGTACAAGCTGGCCTGTGCCTTCTGATAAAGGGATAGATCGCACATTGCGGATCCACCGAGAGGGCTTGGCTGCCTGCTGCCAAGCCTGACAAACGCCAAGCCACGGCCAGTAAGCTGCCAAGCTTTGCATTGCCAAGCCTGCTTAGTCATCATGACACGTGCCCGCCGCCAGGGCCATGCCTAGAAGCAGGGTTTTGGCTTACGCCACAGATCCCCCGCGCGAAAAAGGCCATACCATACATCCTAAGATGCATGGTTTGGTCGAACAAAACAACAAAGTAAGCAGAAAAACCCAAAGAAAACCAAACACATAACATATACCAATACCAAACAAACCTAATTTGAAGCTGAGAATTTGTCCACCAGCTTGTCCTCAAGAAATTTTCGTAACCGGTTTCCATTGACAGGGTTTTTGAGGATTCCGGGCATCTTTTTGCCGGAAAATTTTGGGTGTGACCGTAGACGGTATACACCATTATTCCAAACTTCCCATACCTGAAACGGGCCGACCCATCTTGGAGCAAAGACGGGAGCTGAGTGCCCATCATACTTGGTATTCCTCATCCAAACCCAATCTCCGACATGGTACTTGACCAACTCCCCGTCTTTGTTCGGTGACGAAAATTCCCTCTTGCGAAACCTCAAGCCAGGAATGGTGTCCATTAACAGACGTAGTCGCTCCGCAATCAAACCTCGATGCAGCTCTGGAGAAGAAGGTACTTCGCATGGTATCGATTCGTCGGACGGGATGGACATATTTCGACCGTAAACCAAGAAGGCTGGAGACACCTTTGTAGCAGAATGTGGAGTAGACCTGTATACCCATAAAACGGAAGGTAACAGGTCTTCCCAGCAACACACTCCCGTGTCGGGATCCTTTGGCAGTTCGTCTACCGCCAAACGGAGGTTGTCCTTGATAGTTTTAAGCATACGTTCGATACGCCCGTTTGACTGCGGGTAATATGGCGTAGAACGTTTATGCTTGATCTTCAAGGTCGTCATCAGCAAATCAATTACCTCGTTGACGAAATGAGGTCCGTTGTCCGACTGTATCACAGACGGCAGTCCAAATCTAGCGCAGATGTATTCATATACGAACTTTGCGGCGGCGGCTGCGTCCGCATTCTTGCAAGCCATTGCCTCCGGCCAACGAGTAAGGAAGTCAACTCCGAATATCACGTATTGGCTCCCAGTATTAGCGTCCGGAGGGAAAGGACCGGCAAAATCGATTGACCACCAGGTGAATATATCGGCCACATCTGGCATATATCCTGGAGATGAAAGCTTGTTATTCCGGCTATATCTCTGGCAGACTGCACAAGAGAGAATATAATCTTTAATAAGCTTACCGCTACAAGGGAGCCAGTAACGTGTGTCAAAATGCTGCTTGACAGATCCATGTTTGCGGTGGCCCATTCCGTCGTGCAACTCTCGCATTATACGGACAAATTGATCCACTGAATCCACAACCACACAACTGAGACCTGACGACAAGTTTTTATATAAAATCCGGTCGTCGCCGATCGACATATCCTTGCAAATTTTCCTGACAAGTTTCGCGATGCTTCCAGCGGGGAGAATTCGTTCCGTCATAAACCTCCTACAGTGACCCACCGCCAGGAGCAAGTTTTGCTCGTACCGTGAAAGCACGTTGAGAGGGACGGACAACGGGCCAGATTCAGTCGGTTCTCTGGCAGCTCGCACCGAATCATTTTGTAAAGAACGAGACAATTGCTCGTTTGGTTCATCATCGGAGGGCAATGGCAAATCGACCACATCCTCAAAGTTGGTCATCGTGTGGAACTCGCAATACATAAACATATATCCGGGTTCGTGGTCGCATTCCTCCTCGTACAGTAAAGGGACTCGTTGCAGCCACTCGTTTGTAAAGTTGCACAAGAAAGGGGTTTCGTATTGCAACTCTGACACGCCAGGTGAGGGGGGAACCTTTTCTGCAGTAATAGAGCTGCCAATATCAGACCCAAAGGTGACGTCTGCCACAGTCATAGCATCAGGTCCGTTGGTGGGCACAAGCACCATGCGAGACAACGGGTCAGCATACAATTGCAAGCCAGGAATCCATTTAACATCATATTTGAACTCCTGCACAGCCAAAGAGTAGCGGCACAACGCAGGGTTTGTCGAAAACTGAGTGTCTCCCAAGAACTTGTTTGCACGACTGTCGGTAATCCACGTAAAAGGCTGTGAAAGCAGCCAATCGTGGAACTTGCCGCATATCCACACAAAGGCCAATGCCTCCAATCTTGCAATATGGTAGTTCTTTTAAGCTGGTGAAAGCGCCGCGCTTGCATACGCGCACGCGTATTCCTTACCATCATCGTTGATTTGCGTAATGACTGCCCCAAGACCACCAGCAACACCCACGCTTCCGGCACTGGTATCAGTATAGACAGTAGTGACTCTTCCTGGTTTAAAAACCATCATAACTTTCGGAGATGCCAGCAAAATCTTCAATCTGTCAATTTCCAAAATGCATTCCGGCGTCAGGGACAGACGTCCTTTCTTGCGGGTCAAAGATGTCAAATTAGCAACTCTCAGTGCAAATCCTGGCACTGAGTCACGGAATGTATTCGCCAACCCCAGTAACGATCGCAGCTCTGTGACTGTCGTTGGGTGTCGTAATTGTTGAAAAAGATCTAACCTCTGCTTTGGAGGTCTCACAAAGCCGTCCTCAAATATCATACCGACCATCTCAAGTCGGCGACCCAGTTTTTCCTTCCTTGGTTTGAACTTCCATCCGTGTTCTCGGGCATTTTTCAACAACTGAAGCTTAGTTATCAGTATATCTTCCCAATCGTGTGCACCTCCGACTATATCGTCAAAATAATTTTTGACCGTCTTTTTCTCAAATTTCAAGTCACCAAGCATGATATCAGCATTCCTTGCGAATGCAGCTGGCGCACCTATGTGGCCAAAGTCCATTCGTATGGATACGAATAGTCTTCTCAGCATCTCGAATGAAGTCTCGTGGACGGTGTCCGGATGCTCGATGACCTGTTGGAATCCACGGTCCGCGTCCACAACGAACCACCTATCGAATCCCCCAACCCATGTCTGCATATCCTGGAGGGATGTCAGGGGGTATGGGTCTAGAAATTGTGTGTCGTTAAGCTTGCGATAGTCATGCGCAATTCTATACCATTTCAGATCATTTTCGTCCTCGCCAGCCGGAATAGTCTTTCTAGCAACCACAAGTTGCGTTCTATTCCGGCATTCCGGACCGGCGGGAGCGTAGACACCCATCTGTATCAACGGTCCGCATTTGGTACTGATTAGGAATTCGTTCCTAGGGGTGTATAGGTTCGGGCGAGAAGCTGAGACAACTGGATAATCAAAACCAGGCTTCCTCAGTATCTTGTGTGGAGAATCGACAATGCACCCGAGGTCAAACTCATGCCAGCTATAAACATCGGCGTAGTCGATAATATCCTGAGCGTATCGAACCTTGATATCGTCAGGCACGTCATCGCCGACATATATTTGTTGCAAAACAAAATCAACTGTCAACACAGGCATGTTTGACTGAATATCGTGCAAGGTGCGACCAGACACAGCATGTAAGTTCTCAAACGGCACCGGGCCGTCAGTTTCACCTATCAGGTCTTTTGATCCAAGCGTAATGCTAGAAGTTGATCTAACATCAGGATGCACAACAACAGTCGCCGTAGATGACGAACTATTCATGTACATGCAAGGAACCGTCACGCCTGTGATCGCTCCGACGTCCAAGTCAACTTCTTGTATATCCCCAGAATCAGTCAGAGATGGCGGGGCGGTATCTAGAGTAGGACCATAAGTTGATGATTTAATATCAACTCTATGAGGCAATGTCAAAATGACACGATTCCACCTCGGGAACAGACCGGCACCGGTAGCC